AAAAATTCAGTTAGATTCTGCTGTTATCATTTAAGTTTCAAGTAATTCCGCTGGATTCTCTAAAAAATCATAAAAAAATCAATTAAATTCTGCAATTCAACCAAATGTTAACACCCTAGAGTATGTGTACATGTGATGTTGATTGGTGAGTACGTAACGTATGAATGTCGTTAGCTTTGTAACTGCGACCACTTAAAAAGAAGAAACAAAAAAGTTATGAAGACTTAAAAAAAGAAAACAAAAGAAAGAAGATATTTAATTCCACTGGGTCCTCTTTTAAAGTTTTTTCATTTTATTCGTCGAGAGCGTTGAGCCTATCGTGTCTTTATCTGCAAACAGTGTTTTAAACCCAAAAAAGAAAATATCACAGGGTAAAAATCAATTTTTAATATTTAAAAGAAAAATTCAATTCATGGTCAGTTAGACAAGTAGACGTTGAGCGTTGGTCTACCAAGTTATTTTATTAATTTGTATTATTAAATTAATGAAAACATGTGGTTCTCATTGCATCTCCTCTCAAAGATCCATCATTTTAAGCCAATTGTTATAGATTTTTGAGATTTATATTACAGTTATGTTATTCTCTGTATATTAATCGAAGAGATATTTAATGAAAAATCATATATATCATTTAATGATAATTTTAAACGATACATCAATTATATTAATCAATCTAAACATTCTAATTAATTATGTCATCTTGGAAATTTCTACATAATTACATAATTTTTTAACATCAATTTACAAATATATATGTTACTAATTTAACTCCAACTAAAATATAATATTTTAATATTTAAACATTATATAATTTAATGTTTTAACGATGAATCAATTACCGATATTAATTACTTTATAAAAATTGTATTCCTGTCCATTTAGATACTATATGTGATTGATCATACATTTTTTTATATTGTTTAATTGTATTCATATTACACTAATTAGAATTGCGTTTTTGTTATAAATATACAACTTTACAAATCAAACACGAATGGTTGAATTTCAAAAATTATCA